CCAAAGAAACAAAGACACAAATTCACCATTACTGATATAGACTTTACATCTATCTTCTTAAACCCTCTTAAAGATAAAAATAAATTTTTAATAGCCCTCCCCCCTTCATTTACATCCTAGTTACAATTACGTATTATTAGGGATTCAGAGTTAGAGTCATCACGAACTAACATCATTTATTAGTAGTATTTTTTCCAAACAATTAAATATAATGGAGAATTTTATTGATATGTTAAAATACTTGCCCAAACAGGACGAAACGCGCGTCCTGGATTCCGCTATTAGCTACTATCCATCTTTGCTTATATTATTGTTACTATTTATATATCTATCTACACTTTTGTCTTATCATGAATAAATCTAGATGTTGACTTGAAGAAAACAAAAATGAGACTAAAATAAAATTAATTATTTCCATGTCAAATAATGAATATTCAATAGTTTATTGACTTCAAAATATGATATCATGTTTGTATAAATCAATAATAAATGGAAATTAATTGAAAACAGATTATCATTCCCCTTTAATATACACAGTTCAATATGGCTACATATTATGTTTAATCATCTTTAAAAAAGAAAAAACAAACAAACAAACAAACAACATACTTGAACTATTTATTGATATCTGATTATCATTTAAGTGGAATCACACCCTATTTTATCGATTTCAATCAATAAAATGTAAATAACATGAACCAAAATGAGAAATAAGAATTTGGTTACTTAATTACATCTGTTAACTTTCGTGATGAATCATAGGTTGCCCACTAGCATTCTTCTTCCAACTCTGTCCTGGACAATCTTTTCCAGATCTTTCCAGTTACTGTTCATTCTTTTCAAATCTGCTTTCAATTCTCGTTAGAGTGTATTCTTTCATCTTCCTCTTTTCTGTTTGCCTTCAGGATTACTAGTTAGAGGTTGCCTCGTGATTCAGTTTAGTGATATCTGCAATGCATTTCCTATCTACTTCCATTGTCTTTTCCTAATTCACTCTTCATCTGGAAGCTGGTTTCTTCTCTCTCACAGTAGGTTGTTACTGATGTTATCCAACTAACAGACAAGTTCATTGTTATAAATTTGAAGCTTCAAGTGATCTATATTATGTAACAAAGTACCCAGAGTTTTATGAAATTGTCAAGATGAAAGAGCATTTACCTTCAAATGCAGCCATTTCCACTAATTTATTTGTTTTTTTTATTTGGTAAACATTGTACATAACTGATATGATGGAAAGAAAAGTTCAAATTCGATTGATTTTACTCATTATAAGTTTTGTTCAAGATTACTTCCGTTTTGATTCAATGTAATGATTACTCAATGTAGTATTTGTTTTCTTTTCTCGTATGATATTTTATTCTGTATAATATGCGATATTCTTGTATTCCATTGACATAAACTATGCTCAGTATGTGATTTGTTATAACTCTAAGTATTTTTCCTATATGTGGTTTCATCCTAATTATTGATCAAAATGGGTGTGCAATCAATATATAAATGATTCATCGCCGTCGTCGTCTTTTGTGGTTAATAAATCATCACTTATACCAGTCTTTGTGTTCTTAATTTCGCGTCGTGGGAATTGCAGAGGTTCCTCGTTCCGAGTATAAGTGATAAGCGTTTCCGACATAACAATCACCGACGACCAGATACAAAAAGTAGCATTAAAAGAGTCAAGAAAATACGCATTCAAACGGCAAGTTATAACAATAATAGTTATTGGATGGTAAATAATCTTAAAGTAAAGAGTGTAATATGTCAGACAACATATTAACGTTAGCATTTTAAGTAGAATTTCAAAAATGGTTATCGTTTTTGTTAGTATAGAGAAGTTGTGAAGATTATTGAACGTTATAATTAATATTAAGGAATAACATTAGTTAGATAATTAGTGAAGACTGAGAAGTACTAAATAATTCTTTTCTCTTCGGCTGTAACCTCTCTAATGTGCAACCATGGTCTTAAAAGGTGTGGAGCCCAGAGTATTCAAACCTAAATCCATGCACCTCCTCTTCACACTGCAGACTTAGCGACCATTGGTTGACATTCCTAAATCCAAGTAATTTGTGTTTTTTGTCAAATTTGTAATTAAAATTAATTCTTAAGATTGGAGGGGGTAAATGTAGTGTCTATCCGATGTGAATAGTTTCTCTAATCAATTTGAAATTTCTCTATCTAAATGTATCTTCCTACTTGATCTTCTGGGTTCTTGTTTGAGAATGCTGATAAAAACGTTAAAATACTGGAACTTAATAAAAATTGAGTCGGATACCACTGAGTGCTGGATATCCAGAGAAATTTATAAATAAATATTTAGCCATGTAAAGAGAGTATAAAGAAGGCCTAACTCTGAAGAGAAAGCTTACAATGCAGAGGAGATGCACTCAGCAAAATGCTAATACTAAAGTTACACAGAATAATTGAAAGAATCTTCATAACAAGTAGACTACAATTCGCGTTTTCTACACGTCTGATGGTCACTGAGATTGAGAAATAGATTACCTAGACTGGCTACCTCTTTCTGTACCTATTGATTTAACCGCCCTTGCGAACCACGTTGTACTGGTCAGTCAGTCAGCTACAATGGAGGACCAGGCACATCTATGCATCGGTCCAAGTTGCGATATCTCAATAACATTACAAGATGGACACCGGATTCATAATAGTAGTTAATTCAGAGGTGGTAATATATAAAAGAAAGATTGCAATAAGGATATAGTACAGGAAGAAAGAATTAGTTCGTAGAAAGAAAGATATGAAGCGATTTTAGTCAGTTGTATTGGTAGGTGTTCTAGGAATTTGTATTTTCGTGCTCGCAGGCACTTCCCGGTGTGGTTAAGCAAAGGTGTAGTTAAATCTATTAACAGCTCGAATTTAGCTCACTTAGTACAAATGGGCCGTAAAGTCAACGTAGAACAATCATTTACAGTAATATATTGTGTTACCAGCAATCTGCCTAAATCCGTCAGACTAAGAATCCTTCAGACGGCTGAGGCAGTGGTTATTCGGATCAAAAAGCCAGAGCTCTACATCCAGAAGAAATCTGTTCAATCACTCCTTTTAACCTGGCCGACTTATTTCGTGATGATTTAGTGATGCGTTTCGGTTATTGTTTATACAACCTTATTATTCATCTCAGCATTAACAATTTTATTTTATTTTATATCACAAACGGTCCTAAATTCGCATGCTATAATTTTGAACGATGTATTTCGCTCAAAACCTGCCCATTTATTGGATTATTAATTTGGATACATAGTTGTGGAACCTAAAGAGAATGTATTGTAAGGAATATTCGTCGTTCATATATTTTGTTTGAATATGATGGGAATTTTTATGGAAAGTTTAACAAAATAAACAAAACTTCAAGTTACTTAAAGCTTTAAACGTGATCAACTATTCTTGATACGTAGATTTGACACGGACATGGTCAACAAAATTACTTTGACAGCGTGAAAGATGGAAAAACTGGTGTGTAAAAGTTTTCGTGAAACTATCTCCATGTGTTGTTATCACGGTTAACAAACAATCATTATCGCTCGCATATACTCTCTTATCCTTCATTAAAATAAGATAAATATAAGTTATAAAATTAATAAGATCATTTAGTCAATAGATTTGTGCAGAGTTCCCAACTGTTGATTGTTATTCCTGTCATCGACTGACTTCAGCTGAATAATCAATAAAAGCAATGGATCATTTGAAAGTCCGTAACCATAACATAAAATAATTTTCAAGTCAAATTAATAGATGACTGAACTTTTGAATGTAGACAATTGATTTCCAACTCTACAGTCTTAATACAATTCGTTTCCATGAAAACTGAATGGTTTGAGTTTGATTTATGGCAAGATCGTTAGTGGTCACTGATATAAAGTCACATATTAGGATGAAACATTTATTCAGTGTCCTGTAGTTTAATTTAGTTTTCCAATTGAAGTTTATGACAAAGACTATTCTTGAAACAACTACTTATGTTGAAGATTAAGTCTGAAAAAAAAAACGAAACACAGGTAAGTAATAGAGTTTATATTATCCGTATAGTTCAGCTTTTGAAATGTAACATAAAAAAGACATACAGAACAAGTATAAATGCTTATTGAAATTATAACTGGAATTATCTTTCTTCCAACTGAGATGATATAATATTTTAGTGTTCTCCAATAGATTCTGACAATCAGTATATATATACATATATAAACAAGATGTAACGTCAATTGATTCTTGACTGTGATCATGAACCGGTTGATGTCATACCACCTTTGGAAACCTGGAAGCACTGGACGGCCGTTTCGTCCTATTGTGGGACTCCTCAGCAGTGCGCATCCACGATCCCGCTCGTGGGATTCGAACCTACTGGACCACTAAGCCAGCATCCAATGGTGATGATGGTTAGACACTATCACCATTGGTTTCCAAAGGTGGTCTAACATCAATCGGTTCATGATCTCAATCAAAAACTTAATAATCTCCACAACCCCTATACTATCGATTGATTCTGTTATTCACTTCTCACCGGAAATGTTTTTATTCTTATCTCACTAATGTAATAAACCAATAAGTTATTCTTTCAAATATTTTATATGTAATAAATAAATATAGAAAATTATTCAATTTAATTACACGATATGATTGTTTATTTATTTTTATATTCAATAACTATTTTTAAAAAATAATTTATTGACCAATCAACTAGCAGAGAAAATAATTCCTAGGCAACTCATCAAGAATGAACCAATCATATTTGAATACACTGTTTGTTTTGTTTCGTTTTTTCTTTATAAACAAAACATGTGTCTGTTGATTTTTAAAAGGAAAAAAATCTTTTTTTTTATTTTTGAGAACATTACATGAGAACATTTTCTCAATAATAGAAAACTTTCTTCATCGGAAGAAATGAAATAATACTGGTTTTGTTGTTGTTGATGTTGCTGGCTGTTTATTACAAATGATACATTATTCTTATTCCCTGACAATATTGAATAAAGAGACTCAATGAAATATTATAATATTTCGAAAATGTTCTACATTTGTTACTAAGGGATTTTACAATCAATTGCTTCAATAAAAACAATTAAGTAAGTCTATAAAGTAATTATTAGTAATATATGGGTTTATTTTATTTCAGTTTAATTTAATTTTTTATTGAGATCATAAACAGACTGATGTTAGATCACCATTGAAAACCTGGGTGTACTAGACGACCGTTTCGTCTCATTGTGGAACTCCTCGGCAGTGCGCATCCACGATCTTGCTCGCGGGATTCGAACCCGGTGCCTTCAGTCTCGCATGCAAATGCTTAACTTACTGGACCGCTGAGCCGGCTGGCATCCAATGGTGTTAATGTCTAACCTCAACCAATCCACGAAATTGCGCGATCATTTACCATCGTACTGAGGTAGACACCTGTTTCTACCCGACACGGATTAGCTCCATTGGTCATTGATTTATTGATTATTGTAAAGTATATATATTTTTTTTATTAAAAAAATCGATTAATTGTAGTCATATCCATTTTGTGGTTTATGTTTACTATTGAAAACATTATATAATAGAATGTATATCAATTGTATAGGTTTATTTGGGTAGTTTGTATTATATAAGTAATTAATTATGTAAGATAATGTCATTATTGAATGTTTTAAGTTTGTTTTAATGAAGTTGTACAGAAAAAATAAGACTCATTTGATGACTATCGTAGATAAGTTAATGATATATGAAATTAATTTACATAAAACTAATTTTTATTGTTAAAAATAGTCTAGAAACATTGTATTTCAATGATTGAAACTAAGTTTTAAATTTAACGACTATTTTATATCACTAATTATTAGGTTATTATCAATAACCCTAAACAGATATGTTTAGTATCAAAAAGGGTTTTGTAGATATTATAGTAATTTTAATAGTTAAAGTCATGAGTCAAATGAAGCTAGACCACCATGGAAAATCTGGAAGCATTGGACGGCCGTTTCGTAGATTAGTTGAAGTTAGACATTAACACTGTAGGATGGAGGCTTAATGGTCTAGAGCTTAAGCGCTGATAGGTCCTGGGTTCGAATCTCGCGAGGCAGGGTCGTGGATGAATACTGCTGAGGAGTCCTACAATAGGACAAAATGGCCATCCAGTTCTTCGAGGTTTACTATGGTTCTCTAGCTTCAATTGACTCATGATCACAACTATTACAATAAATGTTTAGGTTTATCCTATGTGTTTTCATACTACATAATGAGTTGGTTAAATATGAAAATATCAATATCTTATTATTATGCTTCGTTTGAATAGATTATAGGGTAATCATACCTTTTTAATACTAGGAAGCAAGAGAGTCGTTGTAAATGAAACTAATGACTTGTATCTAATAAGGTATTAGTTAACATTTAACATTAGGAATACAAATATTTATTTACAACCATAGTTATGGCGTGCTTAATTTATACAATAATAACTTAATTGATATCATCTATGGTCTTACATAACATAAGGTAATATTTTTCTCTAAGGTTTTAAGAATAGATTAGAAAGAACAAAATGTAAATTTCAGCACTGCATTAAACAAATATTTAAGTACTGATTTCATGAATAACGCATAGAACCCCACCTGGAGCCCCTCTGTGGTTGCTGCTGGTCGCAAGCCCGGGTAAAGGAGGAGGGTTATTATTATTATTATTATTATTATTATTATTAGCTTTATTCAATATTATATTTTTGGCACAATATAGAATTCTCAGCACAAAGTATTTCAACAAGTTTCCGTTTCTTGCTTCTTGGTCGGTCCTGGCGATAAATATTGAGTGATTGCCAGTTAAATGTTAGCAGTCCCGTAAATGAACATCTGAATAATGTACATTTTTTTCGTTGTATATTGCCAGCAACCACATTCTCTCTTTTTGAGCTTTTTGTATCTTTGACAACGAAAGGTTGTACACCTTTCAGAAACGCAGCAGGATAGCTTATGCGATTAATATACATAATGATATATTAAAACAAACACAAATAGATAACTTGATGAAATGTCTAGATGGCAGGAACAGGTAGCCCAGATGCTCAAGCAGGCCGCCATGGGGTTAGCGACCCAATCCCTTAGAAAGCTAACTCGCTAAAAAATGCTAACCATAGAAAAAGTGAAGTAAGTACTAACGCTCAACGAAAATTAAGTCTAACTATTACAAATCAAACAGAGAAGAAAGTTTAAAAATTAACACATATCTTTATGTCTTCGATAACCAACACAATTGTCGTAATGATACTGGTATTTAATTGGTGATATTCCTCTGATCATCAGTATGAGCTGTACATGATGTTCAATATTACTTAGATGCTAGTTTGATTTTAAACAATGGAACCTAAATCATTATAAAAGTCTAAGTTAGATAAGTTCATGATTTCAACAAAACACAACAATCACCACAGCTATTGTTTAATGCAGAAAAACTTAGTTCAATGTGTTGAACAGGTTCCAACTGACTTTTTATTTATCTACTAAGTTAATAAAAAAATATTGATTATAAAGTGAAAAGGGATATTGTAATATTATTAACTTTTTATTTATTTCAATTGTAATACTAACATTACTTAGATATACTGCATTAAAGATACTTACTTACTTACGCCCGTTACTCCTTATGGAGGAGCATAGGCTACCCACTAGCACTAGTCATCCAACCCTGTCCTGGGCAATCACTTCCAGCTCTTTCAAGTTGTTATTCATCCTTTTCATATCTGCTTCTATTTCCCGACGTAATGTGTTCTTTGGCCTTCCACTTTTCCGCTTCCCTACAATTCCAAGTCAGGGCTTGCCTCGTGATGCAGTTTGATGATTTGCGTAATGTATGTCCTATCCATCAACTGCATCGTCTTTTCCTAATTTCCTCTTGAGCTGGAAGTTGATTTGTTCTCTCCCGCAGAAGGCTGTTGCTGATGGTATCCGATCATCGAACATTGAGTCTCTTGTTTAGACAACTATTTATAAATACTTGTACCATTAAATGATGGTTTTAGTAGTCCTCGAAGTTTCAGCTCCGCACAGTAGAACTGTCTTGACATTCGTATTGAAGATTGTGACATTGATGTTGGTTGACAATTGTTTTGAGTTCCATATGTTCTTCAATTATAGGAATGCGACCGTTGCTTTGTCAATTCACCTGTACCTCTTCCAGAGTTACTGCCGTTGTCAGGCCCAGGTAAAAGAGGAGGGTTGGGCATAGGGCTAGTTACTTCAACTAACTTGCTAAAAAGACGCTAATAAAAAAAAATAATTCAAACCCCCATACATTATAATCTTACCATTATTTCTGAATTGTTTGGTCAAGATTATTGATTAAATCATTGATACTGTTACTTGTTTATTACTGTCTTTTTTGTTAATTTGTAAATCTTAAAGATTTTAAATAACTTTGTCATAGAAACAAACTTCTCAAATGATCAGTTGAATAAATATTAAATCACTTCTTTTGAAAAAAAGATTTTCTTTTACGACAAATTAAGTAGACTATTCTGTTCCTCTAAAATAGTTTACAAAAAACCTGACAGGGGATTTTTCTCTCAAGAAAAAAAAAACAAACTAAAATCCCATTGGAAACTAGAATATACCATATTGTCTATAGAAAAAAAAATAAAACGGTTTCATTCATCTTTATGAATCATTATTGACAATGAAAATGTTGAATATTGAACATTAATTTAAAGATTAACATTAACCCTTTTTTTTCAAAAGACAAACGTTACATAATCAATTCTTTATAGAATTCATTCAATAAAGAATAAAGTTAATTTACCTAGGAAACTATTCTTTTTCAATAAAAACTTTCTTGTTTATAGTGATTTTTACAACCCCCTCCCGTAAAAAAATAGATGAGTCCATGGAAAAGAATAAAAGAGAGATTATATAATGAAATGTTTAAAAATTTCATATATCAATAATGACTTTATTAATGATCTATAAAGGGGATTGAAGAAAAAATAGTAAGATGGAAAAATTTATTTAGTTGAAATAAGAATGAGAAACAATCGTTCATTTGACAGATATAATTTAGAAATGAAAAACATTGGGGTATTCAAGACAAGTGAATAATAATTATGAAAGCTAATAAGGAGTAACAATAAATGGTTACTAATCAAAAATATAATAATAATAAACAAGAAAACTGACTAAAAGTCAATGAAAGAACGAAAAATTCAATGTGTTACTTTGGCATTAAGAGTTCAGGCTTAAACAGATGAATTGACAAAGTTTGAGCAGAGCATGCGTTGATGATTCAACCTCTTTTTATCACCACAAACTCAATTATGTACATTATTATCAAAAAAGACTCTGATGGGTAAATGTGTCTAGAGTTGATAAAATGTTCCCCTAATGACCTGTTAATTATTCTTCTTTCAAACGCTAATTTGAGTTATGTTCTACGATGAGTTTGAAAAGCGTTCACTTTTTGTGGTCGATGTAACTTACTCATCCAGAGTAAGTAAATTTACAGATACACACAGATATAGTCCAAAGTGAAATTTTATCCTTAACAAATTCATCAGTCGTAGGTGTTTCAGAGAAGAGCATACAAAGTCTAGCTGAATGAATAACTTTTCTCCAAGATTTTTAGATTAATTTGTCATAAACACATCGGAAGACAAATCTATATTAAATTTAATATTTATGGAAAGTTTTTCTTTGTGCAGCTTGTGATTTCACAAGTTTTTGTTTTGATATCATGATTTCATCAATGTGTTTCTGTGACCAGCCATTTTTAATTAATATTTCCCGGAGTTGAAATAGTTCTTCCTCTATTGTATCATTGAATCATGTTTGAGGATATTCGGTAACATAATCGGTTTCTTTCATGATTGAATTTGACTGTTAATAAGTCTTATTGACAAGTCAGTGAGCATTTACACTAGAAATATTTGTCCGAATCCGTAGCCATTATTTACGTATACTGATGCATAATATGCAGTTAGGTGAATGTGATTATTAAGATAATAAAAAAAATCCCTAACAAGTACCTTGGTATTATTAAAAATTCCATTAATTATTTAGACAATTTTATCATGTTAGAATGAAAACTAGTAGTAAACATTTCCGGA